TGGGTAACAGAGAGATGGGACAGTAAGAGGATGGATATTCTGGTGGCTTTTTGGGTTTGTGGATCATTTTGACAATAGATATTTTCCAAGGATCAGGGAAATATGTGGATCGGAGTACAGCATTATATATGAAAGTAAGGAATAGGATGGCTTTTCGAGGAAGAAGTTTCAAGATCTGGGATGTTATTAGATCATGTCCAGGAGCTTTGCAGGAGGGTAATCTTTGAATGATGTTGGATATTTCTGTGGGATGAAATGCTTTAGGTGGAAGGGACATTTGGAGAGGAGTATCCAGTTCTGATTCAATACATTCGATGTGGGTTGGATTAAGGATATCAGGATGTGGGTTGAAAATTTGGAACAGATGTTGACCGAATAACTGGTCTTTTTCTTCGTCGGATTTGGACCAGGTTTGGGATTCAGTAAGAAGTGGGTGATTAAAGTCTTTAAACTTCAGAAGTTTTTTTGTTGTAGTACATAGTGATTTGTCAGTTGTTGTAATATTTTCAGTTAGATTCAGTAATTGTTGAGTTTCATATTTTCTGATTTTAGTTTGTTAGTCAATTCGGTATAGTACGTTTTGTCTGAAGGATATCTAGTCCTGTGCCACTTCAATCTTGCTCTGCGTTTATCCCTTAATAAGATTCGAATATGCTGTGGCAAGTTAATATGTCTTAAATTATTGCTTTTATTATTAACAAATGTGTTATTATTTATACTCGTTGTTATAGTTGTATTAAGGTTTTCGATGGCATTATCAATATGTTGTTTTGTCTTAAGGGGAATTTTTAAGTCCAGTTTATCTTCCAGATCATGACGAAATTTGTCCCAGTCCACTCGTCCTATAATCAGTTTAGGAGGTGTAGGTTTAGGAGCAAAGTTCGAATGTAGTAAAAGCAAAACTGGACTATGATCTGACGAAAGGTCATCCAGGGATTTGATAATGGATTGGGAGGAGGAAATCTGGGAGGTGATAAATATATCCAGGATATCGGGACGTTTTTTCAGAGATGTAGGCCAATATGTAGGATTCATGGGTGAGAGGATTGAATAACTGTTGGAAGAAGAGACACTTGATAGGATGCTACCGCGGGAGTTGGATGTTCGACAACTTCATCGTTGGTGTTTAGCATTGTAGTCTCCTCCAGCAATAAAGCGCGCTCCGAGGGATTGAAATAAGGAATCAAGTAGGCTATAAAAGAGGGAATTACCAGGAGGACAGTATACAGCTGAAAGTGTTAGATGGAAAGGACGAGTTGAAAGGATTACAGAAGTAGATTGAATGGCATCAGTTGGAGTAGAAGGGATAAGGGAATGCGATAGAGATTTATGTATAAGGATGCAAGAGCCAGCGTGGGAAGTGTTGTCTGGATGGTCAGATCTATAAGTGATGTAGTCACGTATGTAGAATTGTGTCCGTTGAGTGAAGTGAGTTTCTGTCAGGAGAGCAATGTCAATATAATTGTCATGGAGAAATATGTCTAGTTCGTCACGGTGGTTTTGTAGTCCGTTAGCGTTCCATAAGAGGATAGCTAGGGACTTTGTATTCATCGGAAGTTAAACGGGATTTCGGAAAGGAGTCTTGTGAGAAGAGTTATAAGCGGTTTGATAGTCTGTTGAAAATCTATCAGGAATGATGATAGGATAGAGTTGATGTCGGATGATGTTTGGCTGGGAAGAGGATTTAGGTCGTGAGGTTGTGATGAGAAATCTATGCGAATAGGATTGCTGGGTGGAGGGTGGGTCCGACCTGGGGTACGAGGAGTAGGATCTAAATTCTGTTGGACTTGTGATGGGAGGTTCATCTAGGGAGTAGGAACGAGTGGAGCTGGTTGTGGGTGCTCTGGCGGGAGTTTGACCCTTAAGGGTAGCTGATGGGGAGGGATTGGCTGACGAGGCTGTTGAGGTTGAGTATTAGAGCTTTTGGGCTTGGATTGGGAGGTTTGAGGCGCCTGACTTTGAGGCTGCTTCTTAATGATGCAAGGCTGCCATTGAGAATTTCTTGAATTCTGTTGAGGATAATCCTTAAGTGTAGAGATGGATGGTTGCTGTTGGACGGCGATGGAAGGTGAAGTCGGCAAAGCTGGGAAAGTTTCCTGATTTTCAATTTCAGGTGGCTCAGGACAAGTATTTTGAGCAGGTTCAAGGGTTTTCGTCGCTAAGTTGCGTGATCTCTGTTTGTGAAGATTTGTATACACCTCACAACCTCTATAGCTTGCAGGGTGGGCTTCCCCACAAAGAGCACATGTAGCGGGCTCATCTTTTGGCCTCTGGCAAGTGCCTGAAGCGTGAAAACCGGCGCATTTAACACATCTGGCCTCGTGATGGCAATATGTCTTCGTATGCCCTAAGTTTTGACACTTAGTGCATTGTACTATTAGGGGCTTCTGTCTTGGTTCTTCAAATCGTACTGTCGAGTATACTAAACGTTGAACCTGAAATATTTCATTATTCGTTTTTGCTGGTTCCAAATCTATAAAGAATAATGGAAGCGGATATCTTTCCCTAGGATGTAGTACGGGTGCTATGTGCCTGACGTTATGACCGATTTCTTCCAGGCCTGTTTTGATGACAGATATAGGAGTGGTTGGATGTAGACCTCTCAGGACTACTCGATACGCCTTGTCCTGTTTCAATTGGTAACAATGGAAGTCGTAGTTTTTGGAAGTTAAATGGCTAATCAATTTTTTATAGTTTTCTCTAGAGTTCGTGTTTATTTTAATGTCATTGATTCGAGAGAAGCAGCGAAAATTTGGCTGTCCGATTAGTTTTGCAATTTCTTGACCAAACGACACGAAGTTCTCAATTTTTGAAACAAAAACAGGTGGCGGTTCGGGGTCAGAAAAATCTTGAGGCTTCGGAATCTTGCTTGATAAATTGCTATCGAGAATAGTATTCTTGCTGGCTGAGGTGCTTGGTGCAGTTGGCTCTGATTGTGTGGCATTAGATTTACTCCTCGTTTTAGGTGGAGATTTTTCTTGTTCTGCTGGCTTATTTGATTTGTTTGATTTATTTTTTGTTTTTTTCTTATTTGGTGAGTTGCTTCCCGAACCGGGAGCGGAGTTTCGGACACGCTTTTGGAGCGTACGTCTTTTCAAGTATTGCGAGTCAGTCTCGCTAATTTCTGAAAAGGGTGTCTCATTCTCCGAGTTTTCACAAGAAGTGTTCTTATCCAAATCCATGGATTTATCCATGATGGATAAATGAGTGTGAGAGAAAGAGAAAAAAAAATGTTTTTTAAACCTAAATATTAAAATGAAAATTATAAGATAGCTTCTTAAGAACTAAACTATTTACAAAGTATATACAGATATAATATAAAATAATTCATTTCAGAATTAATTAATGAGAAAATAAAATAAAAGTCTCCTGAAAAATATTAAAAATATAAAGAGAAAAAAAAAGAAAAAAAAAGAAAAAAAAAACCTAAATGTCTTGGATTCGAACTGTGAACAAAGCCGAAGAATGTTAGTATACACAGAGCCGAGTCTTGACCGTAACTTATTGCAGATAAGGTAAACCCGTAAGGGATTACGGGCCACTTGGGCTTGCCGAACGAGCACTAATTTATTACTGCTTCATTGTTAATCAATAGTTACTAACCTGAACATATGTGACATAAAATGTACCACTGTTTATATAGTCACTGTTGATATAGTCTTACACCAGAATTTTAAATAGTAACCACATTACATAGTAACAAATACAGAGCGACGTGAATCTTCAACTGCACTTGCGGCCATGACACTTGCTACTCGTCTCAGAAATAAAGTTATAATCTCTTTTGAACGTGCCGAACATTATTATTCCTCCTTGGATCCATACATCGCCAGTTATAGAGAACTCGATGGATGGTTCCCGAAAAGATACGCTATTTCCTATCGAAGCACAAACCCTATTTCTGGAAATAATGGAAAAACATAAAAAATAATGTCATTTATACTGATGCTTCAAAAATAAATAATGAAATAGGATGTGCTATTGTCAACTCTCAAATAGAAAAGTACTTCAATCTTCCCCAGATCTCTGTGTTCAGTGGAGAGATGATCGCTATTAGAGAAGCTTTGACTTACATTGATTCAACGGAGAGTAACAAATGGGTCGTGGTAACGAACTCAAAGAGTGCAATCGTGGCCATCGAAAAGAGAACACCGACAACCACACTGGCGAGATCTATTAAAAATATCTGGTGGAAACTAACAGAAAATGGAAAGGAAATAATGTTCATGTGGGTTCCTTCACACTGCGGAATTGTCGGCAATGAACAGGCAGACAAAACAGCAAATATGGCGAGAAGGCTAGATAGAAATCCAACAGCTATAATCAAAGAAATCCCGATAGAAGATTTTATACAACATATAAAAAAAAAATTGCGGGTAATGTGGCAGAACTTATAGCAACAAAAAGAAACCAAATTAAAAGGAATAAAAAGCCTCTATTTCAAACGGAAAACTAGCAACCGACTCTCCAGAAAAGAAGAGACAGTCCTCTGCCGCTTTAGAATTGGGCATTGTGAATTTTCACATGCCTACTTACTAAGAGGACTAGACCCATCGACCTGCGAGAGCTGTAAGGTGGAAAGAACTGTCCAACACATCATCCAAGACTGCCCAGTATTTAAGAATGTAAGGAAAAATGTCGATATGGCTCAGAGCCTAAAAGAAAACCTCAGTGACAACGAAAACGCCGTGGAAAAAAACTTACAATTTTTAAAAATTATAAATTTCTACAATAGAATATAAATAGGAAGTGTTGCCGATGACCCTGTAAGGTAGAGGCAACAATAAAAACAAATAAATAAATAAATGTTTTTAAATTAAAGATAGGATTGTGTAATTACAGGTAAGATATGTTTTATTTTGAGTAATAATGTGGCTAATTCTTAATATAATGTTTATTTCATTACTTCTTAAGGTCTAGCAATATATAAGGAATTATAATAATCGCATTATGCAGGTAATGTTCATTATTTTAGAATTTGGTTTGTTTTTTCAGGAAAGCAGGTGCTTTTATTAGTAAACAAAGCAACGCAGATTTTCCTACTAAATCAAAATTAGTGAAAGGAATCGATAAGAACGCTAAATCATTTTTGTTGAAGGAATTTGAGCGACTACTTACAGCTAAAATAACTGATTACATTGTTTCCATGATGGGTTCACGACGGTCAGAGGAAACAGAAAAAATAGCAGAGTCCTTGCTATCTCATATCTGTGATATCACTGGTGAAAAATGTTATTTAGATGATCCACAGAACGATATGCAGAGATTACAAGTGTTTTTGGCCGAGAGATTTGCAGTTTGGTTGGCGAGTTTAATGGGAAATGCTAATAAAGTAATGTGTAAAGAATTCAGGAAATCTTCCATAGCACAAGAGAAATTCATTGAAGATAAGAGGCAGAAAGATAAAGAACTCAAAGAAAAAAAGAGGGAAGAAGAAGATCGTAAAAGAGACCTTGAAATTCAAAGAATTAAAGAAGAAAAAGAACGCCAAGAGGAACTCGAAAAACAGAGGCTTAAAGAGGAAGAAGAACATCAAAAGGAACTTGAAAAACAGAAGCTCAAAGAGGAAGAAGAACATCAAAAGGAACTTGAAAAACAAAAGCTCAAAGAGGAAGAGGAACACCAAAAGGAACTTGAAAAGCAAAAGCTTAAAGAGGAAGAAGAAAGCCAAAAGGAAGTTGAAGAGCAAAAGCTTCGAGATGAAGAAGAAAGCCAAAAGGAACTTGAAGAGCAAAAGCTTAAAGAGGAAGCAGAACATCAAAAGGAAATTGAAAAAGAAAAACTAAAAGAGGAAGAGGAACGTCAAAAGAAGATCGAAGAAGAAAAGAGAGAAGAAGACGAAAAGAAAGAAGAAGGTAAGCTCGAAGGCGAAGAGGTGAGTGAATCTGCAGAACATGAGAAAGAGGAAGAAGAAAAACCGGCTGTTGATGAAGAAATGAAAGACGAAGAAGAGAAGAAAGACGGTGAAGAAGAAGAAGTCGGCGAGGAGGAAACTTTAGCAGAAGATGAGATTAAAGTAGGAGAAGAGGAGGAAGTTGAAGAAGAGGAAAGAGCTGATGAGGAGGAAAAAGTTGAGGATGTTATGAAAATTGTAGAAGAAGAAAAAGGTAGTGAGGAAGAAAAAGGTGAGGATTATATAAAAGCTGCAGAAGAAGAAGAAATAGAGGAAGAAGAAAAAATCGCTAAAGGTGAGCAATCAAGCGAAGAGCAAATCAGTGGTGGAGGAGCTATAGGAGAATTGTCTCTTGAACAACTTGAGGAAGAAGGAGAAGAAGAAAAGGTACTTTCTGATTTAGATGCATTTGAAGAAACAGAAGCAGATATTTCAGATCATGAAGACTTAGAAGCTGAAAAGGAAACCGAAGTGTCGCAAGTAGAACCGTTGAGCGTAGTTGAAGAATGGATAGAAGAAACTACGCCTGTGGAATCTGATAAACAAGAGGGCATAAGTGAATTAATGGTGAAGGAGCTTAAACAGTCTATGGGAGATGTTACGCCAGAAGAGGAGGAGGCAATAAAAGAGGTTGCCAAAAAAGCATCAACCTTAATCGACCAGCTCACAGAGGAAGCAAAAGAGCAACTCGAGGAAATAGAGATACTTCCTTCCCCACCTTTAGCATTTCCTAAAAAGGGTCATACTACTTATTTCATTAAAAAAGACGCAGAAGGTTGTTTTTACAAGGTACAACAAATTGAACAAAAAAAAGTTTGTGATATGACGAAAGTTGCTCGCGCAAGGAGAGTCGGTCTTCTACCAGAGTCGATCTGCAAACGTCCAAGAAATGAAAAACCTATAAAAAACTATACTGAACTAAAAGATTGGGCCAAATGGGCTGCAGATGTCGTTAATTTTGCTGAAAAATGGTCATCATGGATCAGCAACACTAGCGAGGAAGCCAAGAAGATAATTGATAACTCAGAGTATAAAGCTAAATGGGATAAATTTAAGGACAAGGCTGAAATGCATGCAATGGAATTGATAAGGAACAAGAAATATGTTAAACAAACATGCAAGGCTTGGAAGGAAAAGTTATCTAAAGTTAACTAATCTTAACCAAGTTGAACTCTGTTGATGTGTTTCGTATACATATGTTTTGTCCACTGAAAGATTTAAATTACTTGTATGTGTGATTTTTAAATGTCTTGTAAGGCTTTTGTTTTCTTAAATATAGTACATTCTCACAGTTACCACTTAGTATTCTGGTACACTTCACAATTCACTATTTAGAGAGTTTAAAATCCCTTCAAAATAAGTGAGTATTGCGAGTCTTTTGGATATATTTGAGTTAATGTAGTTGTTATTGTTACGAATTCGTTTTTCGATACCGAGGGTTTTCTCAATTTAAACATTTTAAGCTTTCCAGAATTGTGTATATTCAACATGAATCTAGTGCGGGGACATATTACAGAACATTCACATATCACCTTATTTGGAGTTACGAAAAAATGCTAAATACAACTTTTAAAAGAATTTGATAATTGTATAAAGGAGAAAAAAAATAAAAATGCCTATACAGGGAAAAACGAATATCCGCAAATACTATTCTGAAGGTATACGTATTATGTATCGTTAGAAAGCCAAAAAAATTAGAAAAAACAATATCTCAATCAATATAGAAAGTTGTAAAAGGTAACGGAGAGCTGCGAAAAAATTCTAAGTAATATTTTTTAAAACTAATATTATTTAACGTAAATCACATGTTTTCATGGAAATTAAATGAAATTTTCTTACTATATTTTAAATAGTAAATTTTTTTTTTTATAAGATTGAAACAAAAAGTATTTAAAATCCACCTAATCAAGGCAATACCATTGTTTAAAAAACTATTTCATTGTATTTGTGTAAAAGAAGAAGTGAAATATAAAAATATTTTATAGATGTATAAAGCATATACATTTATTGTAGTTTAATAAACTATAGATGTGATATATTTAAATAATTATGTATCTATCATCCGTTTATTCTGAAAATTCATCATGTAAACTTTTAGAAAATTAAATTAGTGAATAATCTGATGAATTTTCCCTTTATGATATCCCAACAGTATCCACTTACAAATAGAATAGAATAAAATAGAATATACTTTTATTGCGATCGCGGGAGTCCCCATACAATAGAAGTACGTACATAAATCATATTTAATAGACAATTTTCTTCTTTTTGGTGTAATATATATATATATACATTACTTGTATGTCATAAGTTGATTAATTTAAGGAAAATCCAACAAATATATTCGATTATTTGTCTGTTAATTATTGAGACCTTATTCTGTAGAGAGAAAAATTAATGTTTGATCCAAGTGTTTTGTCTTAAATTTTTTTTTTTAAATGACTTAAAAGGATATTAAGTCAATGTTAGATTCATGTAATCCTTAAAATATGTTAATTATATATATATATATATATATATATATATATATATATATATAAATACAATAAAAAATAAATTTAGCTACAATAAAAACAAAATAAAATTATAATAATAATTTTTTTTTGATCTATTTATTGAATAATAATACAATCAGCCACTGCTGGAGGGCTATAAGTATTAGGGCTAAGAGTTCCCATTCAAACAATATATACAAATAATAGAGAAATAAATATAAATATAAAAAGTAAATAAATAATACTGATGAAGAAAGTAAATAAAAGAAAAAAAAAGTAAACAATAACATAAAATAGAAACTTCTAAACGCAATCATACCTATATACAACATATACATTCGCCCAGGAATCCCCAAGCCAGGCTTTTTCCCCCACATGTGGAAGGCAAAGCAAGACTCTAGGAGATCCCAGTGCCACTTTTCCAGCCGCATCACTAGTATTAGAAGCCAGTGGAGACTGAAAGAGGGCACTAGAGCCACAGACGCGCAGGACATGAGTGGAGAAGCTGGCCATTGCCAGGACTCCAGAAGCATATTTACAAGAGATCTCTGGGCCACTGCCGTTTTAACCTTCGTGGAGGATTGTAGGGATGAAGGGAGCTGGATAGGGATTGAGCTAGAGTATTTGGATGATGGATAAGGTTCTGGTGAAAGTTTGAGAATCTGGATGGGATGATGTCGAGGACAAATGGGATGTTAAGGTCATGGTGTAGGGTCTTGTTTGTGACATAATATGGGGCATTGACTATTGTTCTAAGTACTTTGGACTGGAAGGATTGGATGCGTTTGATATTCGAATGTTTTGCAGTTCTCCACAGTTCAAGTCCGTAGGTCCAGATAGGTTTCAGTATGGTCTTGTAGATTAAAAGTTTATTATCAATTAAAAGATGGGATGTCCTACTTAGTAATCTATACTGCTGGCCATATCGTCGGTTAAGTTCTTGTCTTTTAAGTCTGGTATGTTTGTTCCAAGTTAGTCTTTTGTCAAGAAGGAAGCCAAGGTAACGGACTGTGTCTGAGCAGGGAAGTGGAATTGAATTAAAAAGGATTGGCGGACAGGATCTGCGTCGCAGGGTGAAAGTGATATGTTTGTATTTTGATTCATTGATTTTGATGCGCCAGTTGTTGCACCACTGCTCAATCAAGGAGAGGTGAGATTGTAGGTTAAGATATGCTATTTGAGGATCTGAGTAGGAGGATAGAATGGCACTATCATCAGCAAATGTAGCTAGAAATGTATCGGGATTTGAAGGGATATCGGAAGTGAAGAGGATTTAGAGAACTGGGCCCAAGGCACTGCCTTGTGGAACACCAGCCTCAACTGGATAGTAAGTGGAGAATTCGGTGTCACAACGGACTTCAAAGGAACGATTTGAGAGGTAGGATTTGAGGACTAGGTATAAGGATTGGGGTAAATGGGTTCTGAGCTTGAAAAGCGAGCCATCGTGCCACACCCGGTCGAAAGCTTGTGATACGTCCAGAAAGGCACCAGTGCAATAATGCTTGTTTTCAAGTGCAGAGGATATATGGTTCACAACACAAAGGCCTTTTTGGACAGTGGAATGTCTTGAGCGGAATCCAAACTGATGAGAAGGGATGTTGTGGGATTCGATTATGGGTAGGATGCGTTTGAGAAGGATTTTCTCAACGATTTTTGAGAGGATCGGGAGTAAGCTTATCGGTCTATAGGATGATGTGTTATTAACAAGTTTACCTGGTTTTGGAAACAAGATGGTTGTGGAATGTTTCCACACCAAAGGAAAGTTGGTTGTGCGAAGGATGCAGTTGTATATATAGGTAAGGAATATGATTGCTTTTTTGGGAAGTTGTCTGAGGATTTGTGAAGTGAAGAGATCATATCCAGGGGATTTTATGTATTTATGTCTTCCAACAATGTGAAGGGGCAACCTGTTTGTTTGTGACTTAATCTAAAAACTTGACATACGGATTCTCACTCTCTCTATTCGCCGCTCGTCCAAAGTTTTGGAGCTAGTGTAGCCGAAGGGATTTTCTCGTTAGTCGTTGGCTGTCTTTCTTGAAGTCGGCTGAGCAAGTAGGACGTAAGCCATCTGGTTCTGAACTTCGTCTTCAAGCATCTGACGGACGTAGATAAGGCCGTCTTAAAGAGGGGGTAGGACAAGATGAGACCGGGGGGCCTCCGTTTCATTATTTTAAAGCAAATAATAAATATGTGGTATATAATACCAAATGATATATAGTGATATTTAATAACATATAGTATATTTTAATATACAAAAAATAAGGATGCAAATCCATCAAAGGGTTTATCCTTATGTTTCCGGAGCCGTATATTTTGAAAACGACCTCCATTTTATTATAACGCCACTGCGTTTCGTTTAATTTAACTTTTTCGGATTTATTCGATGTAAGGATGTATTCTTATATTTTTTATGTTTCCGAATTTTAAAATTACGCCACCGCGTTTTGACTTATTTCAGTTATTCGGATTTTTTTCCATATAAGGGTGTATTTTTATGTTTGCGTAGCTGTAGATTTTGAAAGTGACCTCCATTTTAAGATTAGGCGACTGTTTCGGTTTCTTTAAGATTTTTTTTCTTTTAAATTCAACAAAATAAAAACTTTTTTTTCACCTGAAATAAATAAAATATCTATTTTGTCACTTTTAAATTAAATTTTAGTTTTATTTTTAATATCGCCGTATCCTCTTATAAAATAATATGATACAAATTTCGAACAATTAGCTGAAAAGTCTGAAAATGTTAGGTTATATCTATTACCAGTTGCATTTCGGCTTTTTAATTTGTGTTTTGGAGTTAATTTAATCTTAGCTTTGTATAAGCGAAATCGAAATATAAGCGAAAATCCCAACATTGTGGTCTCTCCTCCCCTCCCCTGCAACCCCTGCCCGCGGCTTACCACCTAGACGCCAGGACAATTACAGGCTGACATTTTCTAAAAAGTAATTTTTTTCGGATTTGGAAGCGTTAAAATTTGAGAAATATTGTAATATTTTTTGAACCGTCTCCAACTTTGTTCCTAAGAACGAAAAATAAAGAAGTTCATAAAATCGAAACCTGTACAATTATCTTTAAAACACATGTTAATTTAAGCTATTTATCAAGCTTACAAAAATTTGATTGGAATATTTAATTTTAACGGTATAATATGAACTATACACTACAACTCCACAGTAACAACCGAACCTATCCTGTTCCTCGTGGTCTTCATGATCTTATGGCCGACATAGCTCGAGAGGTAATGTTGCTTTATCAATATGACCGCTAAAATTGGTACAATTCCAACACTATGGTTCATTTATTAGATCTTACATACGCCTCTTAACTTAACATTGTAGCAGTTCATAGCAGAAAGTTACTGGCAGAAGTTCTCGATTAATGAACTATCCATATTCTTGGAAAATAGTGCCATTAGGTATTTATTCTAGGCTATATTCATTCTTTAGCATACCCGACAAGCATATGTCGATAACAATCGGTCTAAATTTAACAAAGTTTTCCAAATTTCCGTCTAGATAAACTTTTAAGCAATAAGCTAGCTATTGACTCAGGTTCATTTCAATGTACAATTCAATATTAATTCAATGATCCCGAATATGATGAATTCGCACTTAAATCGAAAACAACCTTCAGCAACTTTTTGTTGCTCTTTAATCTTTTTTTTTTTTTTTACATTATTAAGTAGGCTACATTTGCATAGTATAAAAGCAGAAAGTTTCTGACCAGGATCCAATAAAAGATCCCATTATTTGTAAAATACAAAATAGCCACAAGTGGATCCTAAGACAATACTTTACCAATTGAAACACTTTATTGAGAAATATTACAATTTGTCACAGTTAAGGACACTTACAGAGTTCTGAGAGTACATTCATAAGACAATACTAAGAACAATGGAATAAAATAGTGCGTAAATATTCACGCTTGATTTGGCAATACGAATAAGGTAATTTATTTTTTTTACTTTTGGTGACCAATCATTTTACTTTATATTTGTTCAAAATTAAAAAAAAAAAAAATATTTTACAAATAAATACTTGAGATATTAACAGAAAATCAAATAATACTTGATGATGAATCTTATTACATGTCGTTGTATAGTTTTAACCGTTCAACTATGTGTTGTAAAAACTAAATCAGTTTTAGCAATGGCTTCGATAACATAGATTGTGTAACCTTTTTTATAATTTGTCTAGAATCTTAGATTGGCGACAGGGTCAATTTTAAAATGACTAAAGCTAAGACCAAATCACATACAATTCCTTCAACAAAAACTCAATAGAGTTACTTTTAGAAGAATATCTTACACGGTTTGAGCTAGTCTTTTGTGTAAAGAGCCTCGGTGGAGCAGGGATTTTCTCCTAGCTAGTATTGGGGCAAAGCACTCCCAGCTACTAGGTATAAAAAAAAAAAATGGGAAAACGAGTTTTGAAGAAGTTAAGGCGGCAGAAAATTGACTATTTAAGGCTATTACAACCGTGTTCGCATCTCGTTTTGACTTTAAAAGAGTACGCATACATTCTGTATTTTAATACATTTGAATCTCCAGTTAGAAAATGTAATTATGGAAAGGACCTAAACGAGTGTGTATGGGACCGTTTTGCTTTGGGAGCTATTTCTTCTCATTTTAAAGTTGAAATAAAGATGAGTAGATGGGAATGATGCTAAATGGAATCCTGTCACTACTAACGCTCTGTTAGAGTGGCGTTATCAATGAATGTTGTTATAGAAGAGGTATCCAACTCTGCAGCTGAACGGGGTCCTTCGGAAGGTTGATCAGAATGTTAATAATAAAGAATGTTGTAACTTCGGCTATGTTGGTCCTCATGGCCAAAATCCATGTTAAGCGAAAGTCGTCTGTAGGAACTGCTCTAAAGTGGACAGAATGCATTTTCTCGTCGAGAGAAGAGTTCTAACGTTATACGAGGAATCAAATTGGAAGTGGATACGTTACACCGCAATTCGGAATGGAGAGGGATCGCTCTTCCCCCCATAAAAATAGAGAGAGGAGAGAATATCGTTTCATCCCCCCTCCTCAATAATTCGAAGTACAAAAATAAAATCAATTAAAATTAATCTACATGAATGAATAAAATATTTAATAAAAAACTTCTTAGTTCTTCAATTAAGAAAATAGGAAAAGTCGACTAAATATCTAAGCTAAGGCTTAGATATAGGCACGCAAGTATTTTACCACGTTTTATGTTCCTATTATTGAAATTTTAGTTTATATTCAAAGATAACCATACGAAGTAACATATCCAAGTATTTTATGATTCATTCATGTGCACCCTTCCATTTTTACGCGAAGCTATCATCACATTTCCTGGGTGATTTCATCGACATTTTCCACTCACATCAGAGAATTGAGAGTTGATCTCACTACCATAAGACTTTAAATAAAAATAAAAATATGTAATATATTCAATTGCTTTGTTAAAATATTTTCAAATATACTCACACGAAAAAAAAAAATAAACATAAATTTATTTTTATACAGGGTCTCCTGTAAGTAGAGGAGAATTTTTATAAGAGTGATAACAAACCTCAACTGGTAAAAAAAAATCATATAAACAATGTACCAATTTTCAGTATAACCACTAATAATAGTTTCATTACCACTCTACCATAAAAATCATTATTTTTTATTTTTCATTATAAATAAAAATGAATTTATGCAATTCAATTTCTTATGATGCAGCCAAGGTCTTGGAAAAAATAAAATAAAAGATTTACAATAATTATAAACATCTGCCGAGTAAGACCAGTATAGCTTCCTCACCATTTTCATTGGTTCCGAAATTGTTATTTAAATATGTGCCATATAAAAACATATGATCAGATGTAAACAAATATATTATATTATATATTATATTATAATATTATATTATATTACAGTTATCAATATATAGATTTGTTTTTATTATTAGATATTTATTTTATTATATGATCATCACAAGTAGAGTGCGCTAGACAGCCACGAACATCTCCAAAAGAGAACATCGAAGAACTTCAGCCTCAATCAGATACATCATCACAAGAGACAACAGAAGAATCTCCCCTTTTTAAACCCAACCTCTATCAGGTACTTCAGAATGACAGAGAGATAATGGAGTGTGCACAAATACCAAGAGACTCCCGACCTCCCTCGATATTCGTTAAGAACATAAAACATTTTCAGTTATAATGTTCTCAACTAAACAAAATAGTAGGCTCCAGGACCTATTCATATCCAAGCAGAATAAATGACACAAAAATATCGCCAGATACAGCTGAGACCAATAGAAAAATTGTGAAGTATCTAACAGCGTCTAAGGCAGATTTTGACACTATCAATTGCGGCAGGAGAGAGCTTTAAGAGTAGTGATAAGAAACCTACACATCTCAACACCAACTAAAGCAATAGAAGAAGAACTGAAAACTTTATGTTTCAAAGTGCGCCATCTAACAAATGTTCTGAAGGAGAGTAAGGAACAAGCAGGAATAAAAATCTCCTCTATTCTTATTTGTTATAGACTTTGAACTGACACCAGAGATTAAAAAACATTACGATGTAACAAGATTATAGTACATAAGTGCCAAAGTAGAGAAGCTTTATCCTAGTAGGAATATCGTTCAGAGCCACAATTGCCAGGCATATGACCACATGAAGACGTATTGCCATCATTTGCCTCGTTGTGTAAAATGCGGTGGATGATATAAAACTTGTGAGTGTACAAAACCAAAACAAAAGTCTGCAGTTTGTAGTTTGTATCATGAAGGATCTCCTGCGAACTGTAAAGGCTGTCAGATATACAAGAGTATCAAATCCAGATACCTAAAATCTCGGTACCAAAAAGAAACTGAATGATATGGATCCAGAACAGAATCTTCCAACATCATAGACCCGAGGATGTCTTTTTCACACCTATTAGGAGATAAGAACGAAATTACTAATTGTGAGAACCTGCCGCAACAACAATATGTATCTCAAAAGTCTCAATCCCACCTTCAGGATCCAACTACTCAAACTTCTCCTAATCCACAACAATTCTATCAAGACCAAATTCCTCCTAAATCAAATACAACAGATCTCACCAGAGCTTACCAAAATAACCAGATTACTTACATCTTTCCTCTCACAATTCAGATCTTGATACTCCTTGATATCTCTTCTCACCAGTGTTGTATCACATTTTTTCATTCCTCCCAAAAATCCTTAATATCGTTCAGAGAGCACATGCTGGTACTGCTGTCATTGTATACCAATTCCTCTCCCATCACCATTACTTACTCAAGATTTCTAACTATGGTAATAAAAACCTTCTGCTCTAACATGAAACCCACATACCAGACTTAAAAGACAACAGCTTAACCGACGATATGGCCAACTATATAGACTTCTCAATAGAAAGTCTCAACTTTCAATAGAGAACAAACTATTAATCTACAAGACAATCCTGAAACCAATCTGGACCTACGGACTCGAACTGTGGGGGACATCAAAACTTTCTAACATCAAACGCATTCAATCCTTCTAGTCTAAAGTTCTTCGAAAAATAGTCGATGCTTCCTTTTATGTAATCAATAAAACCATACACAATGACCTTAATATTCCATTTATACTTGACCTAATCCCAAACAAATTTTCCAAATTTCACCAGAATCTCACTCATCATCCTAATCCTGTAGCACAGTCTCTATCTAGCTCCAGTCATCCCTACAATCCTCCTCGAAGGTTAAAACGGCAGTGGCCTCGCGACCTTTCGTAAATATGTATATATTGGAGTACTGGCACTGGCCAGATTCTTCACTCAGGTCCTGAGCGTATGTTGGTCTAGTGCCCTCCATTAGTCTCCACTGGCTTACAATACCAGTGACGCGGCTGAGGTCGCGTGTCAACACCACCAAGCTAAACTTCAGGCCCAAACAATAAATGGAACGAATCTCAACAGAGCTACGGCACTCATCTCTCTGGACTGCAGCCAGGCCTTTGACTGTGTGTCCCACACGCATCTACTTCGCTGTCTGAAAGAGTTCAGGTTTCCTGCCACTCTATACCGACTGATCCGAACCTACGTCAGCGGAAGATCTCTTGTCGTACGAGTTGATACAGACTACTCAAACCCAGTCGATACTGCCTGCGGACTACCTCATGGGTCTGTGTTGGGGCCAATACTGTTCGTCGTTTTCACGGCACCAGTGGTGGCACTCAAGCATCCAAAGGCGGTGGTAGCAGCCTATGCGGACGACATTGGC